AGATAGGCGGATAAAAAATGTATAAATGGATGTCATGTTTCAAGATGTGCGCAGCACACCATAAAGAAAAAAGAGAACCCCGCAACTCGCGGGGCCGCGAGACAAGGGAAAAGTAAGACCCGAAGATGTCTAATCGATGATCGAGAACACGGAGCGATGGATTTCGAGCGCCGGGGGGTGACAAAGAGCATATATCCGAGCACCCGAAACAAGCCTCCGCGACCAAGGTCCATGCATGCAGGTAGAGAAGGAGGCGCTCGGTTTGGGTTCAAAGGCAGACCGGCTATACCCGAGGACCGGCTTGCCCGCACGCACGTTGGTTCGAGAATCCGCTCAATAATGCGAGTGAAAGTCGGGTAACGCGAACTCGGCGTCCGCCGGGGTGGGCTCGAAAGGCCACCGTCCGTCCCCTCACTTCGTTTGACATATTCGCTCAGAGGGTCAAGGGACAAGAACACCGGAGAGAGGGCTTCCCCGGAAGCCAAGTATTTGGCTTGTTTCCCATCGACTTCCTTTTTTTTCAAATTCCCTTCCCTGACCACGGGTGTCTCATTGCGGGAGGGTCGTGGGTGAAGTAACAACCCTCGAAAGACCTATTCAGATGTTCGAGACCTGAGCTTGTTTGAGGTCCTCTTGTCCAGAAGCGTCTGATTCTGAATGTATCGATCATGCCACCCCATTGCGATGCATCCTTAGTAAGAATACGGTTGCAGCCGGTAAGAGACCAAAGTCAAAAGAGAACACAATGAGCAACACACTTATGTCTTGCTCTCTGCCGCGTTTGGGTCGCCCTTATAATGATCCCAGAACCGTGCGACGGTCCGTTGTGCGACGGTGTTGCCCTTGTACCGGTATATGAAGTAGTTGAATAGGGCAAACTCGTCGCGGTCGAGTACATAATCCTTCTGTGCGTTGATCTTGCCCCATAAGCTTTCAATGGCTGCTTCCAGGGTATCATTCGTTGCCTTATCGGCATGACCGTCCCGTCCACGCTCCAAGGCCTGCCGCACCTCAGAAGACGACGCTGAGACCGCCATTGGTAACTGAGGAGAGAACTACAACCTCTTTCAAGACAGTTGTTTCGGCTCGCAAACGCTGGGAGAAGCGAGAGAAAATATAGCGAATGTGGATGTGAGTGGTGCAGGATCGGAGCATGAGCGGCGCGCAAATTGAATTTGGAGGGAGACAGGGAATAGAAATAAGTTCTGGGGCCCTTGAACGACAGAGAAGGGAAAATTTTTTTCTGGACGGACACGACTGTCTTTGGCAAGCTCCGACCCTCTCAATTTAACAAAGCAGGTGGAGCAGGGGGATGTTAGAGAGGAGAAGGGGGGAAATTGGATTGTCCAAACGGTGGGCAATCGTGGATCGAATCTCTTACAAGCCCATAATGGTGGTGGTGGTAAGTAGTTTAGCAGTACTCGACAGTCTGAATGTAGTAGCCGTAGTAGGGTAGGTACCTGGTAACTAGAAAAATATTAATCCGGATGGTTAAAATTACATCTTGATTAGCCCAAAGACTATTTCATTCCGTAGGTATCAATCGACTGGTTTTGGACTGGAAAACTACACACAGGTACACACAGGCTTAATCCGATAAAGAAACGGGTATGCATAGGAATAAATTCCTACTAATAATAGGATCCATCGGCAAGAGGAACGAACCATGTATTGAGTACGGATAAGCTGGAGGTACTTCCTTGTACAGTACTCAGTATTTAGTTGGCACTCTTGCCTCAGGGCTGGTTTACCCACTTTCTTTTTATGATGTACTCGAGTATGTATGAGGGCAAGCATTGTTCATGATCCTTTGTCTGCACCTAGCCTAGACTGCATATCGGCTGTATGATGATGATGGGGTTAGAGCATTCGGAGATTACAGATGGAGAAGCTGTGGGTTTCTCTCCCTCCCTGGTCTTTCTTTTGATTAGAGTTCCTTGACCGTTGCAAAAGAGGCGTTGGACCATAAAGTGCTTTACTTTATTGCTAGCCGTTGCCGATATTAACTAACTTCGTACTGGATGGATGCACTGCATCACAGGCATTTATTCTGCCTTACCCATTCTGCTGTTTGTCATCTTACCTACCCTTTCGGGCCCTGAATCAGGTTCTCTAAGCATATTTCATCGCCCAGGTTAACACTGAAAGGGTGGAAAGAAAAGCTAATTCGTATCTTGTCTGGTCTTGTCTTATCTTTCTTTCTTCCTGTTCGTCTTTCTTTTTTTTTTCTTTTGGTTGTTCTTTTATTTTTTCCCCTTTTGTTGTCTGGCCATGTGGCAGGTGGGGTTTCGTACGGGCTCACCCGCTGTAGCAGCATCGAGACCTAACCCTTGGCGTAACGGTTTTCTTCCTTTGGGTTTATTCTCGAGTTGGGAAAGGTGTCCGGTCAGATGTGGAACTCGACGGTACAGTGGATAGGGTTGCGAACATTGTGAACCTGGCCGAAACAAGCCGCGTAGATGGAGGGTCGTGGTCGGGTTAGTTGGTTCATACTTTGTAGTGGTTACGTATTTACAGTCTCACGAGTCACGAGTCATCTTACCACCACCACTACCACCACTACCACCACCGATCGGTGGACGTCCGGTAACTACGGGTAATCCGCCTAGGCACAGCCGGCGCTTGCACGAATTAAGTAACTCCAGGTGGTTCCGCCCACGGTTGATAACCTGGTTCGTTCCTACAAACTTCTCACTGATTTCTCTGGCCGGTGGATTCGGCCGGAAAAAAGTGACCTGATCATGGCAACCGACAAAGTAAGCTAAATCCAAAGAAGAAACCAGAAAAGATTGTTATTTCCAATGTCTGAAGCACCAGGGATGGACCCAGAAAAACTTTATCGGAGAACGAACTACGTAACGTTGTCAACACGGAGGGTTGAACAACCTGATGATAAACCGGGAGAGGGGAAGAAGAGTGAGTCCCTTCCCACCTTATTGCCATACTCTTATTCATTGCGAACTGCCACAATACATTACTTAAGTATGGAATTTGGATCATGAAACCGTCCTTTAAGAGCCCTCTCACAAGCGAGTTGATTTTCTGACATGCGCTCGGGAAAATTCGAGGAACAGCCCAGTGAGGGAGACTGCTCCCGGGCGGCTCGGAGCTTCTGGGGTCGATGAGTATTGAGTGCTCCGTACGGAGTACTAGTGAGTAGTTTCTTCGCCTTCTGAATCAGGACTGTATAGTGTAAATTACAACTCGCTCACAGACCCGCCCGGTCCGGTGCATTGAAAATAAGTGGGGATCAGGCAGTTTGCTGCGAGGCGATTTGGTCGGCGGCAGGCTGGACGGATGTTCTGGTGAAAATGACTCGCATTGCCATCACATCCATGCCGCAATGGCGACCAATGACCCTTACATGGCTGGTGCTGCCGGTGGTCCAGCAGCAACAGCCGCAGCAGCAGCACCTTTAACTACTACCTAGTAGGCCTCATTCTTTAGTCATGGTAGCTGCTTTCCAACCAAGGGAATCGGGCAGGACTGACTTTCTTTCCCCTATTCATGTTTGTTTCATTTCGCTCAAATGAAAAAGGTACTAGGTAGGCACCGACGGTCAGTTGTGGGCGGGCAAAGTTTAATCTGCGCGGACAGACAACAAACAAACCTACAAGTACTCGTGGATGTACTCGGAAGCAACCTAGTACTAAACAACGTACGTACGTACGTATGTATGTATGTATGTATGTATGTATGTATGTATGTATGTATGTATGTATGTATGTACTGTACAGCATAATAGTATGATCATATTGGCCACTTTGACTAGGGGTCTTCTTGCATTCCAACTTCCAAGCGACCCTCGTACCGGCCGGGTGCGCGCTTCATAACCCTGGCAGTTTGCTGTCGGCATGGTCATGGCTAATGGATAACGGCTACTGGCTACTGGCTCTCCTCTCTTCAACGGCCTTGCACTATTTAAGTCGGGAAAAGGGTGCACGACGTGATATTGATGCTGGCTAAACAAAATAAGTAACGTAGACATTCTACTAGATACTAGGTAGTGATAGCCCCGAGTCCTGCTTGACGTGCTTCTTGCCTCCGCTCTAGGTCGCTGTTTGATTGATTTTGACCCATGTCTTCTGCAGCTGAGGCCGTTTGCCCTGCTGTGAACCGTATCACTTAATTCCAATCCAACTTCCCTGTAGGTAAGTACTCCGTCCTGCCTCGCAGTTTGTCCAGCCTTCTCTTTTCTTGCCAAGAGTTAGATTGGAACACGTCGCTGTATAATCGACCCCCCCAAGACTCGAATTATTGGCCACCAAGCTACAATAACAGCAGTTTGGTGGTCAATCGACTTACAACTGCACTTGCGTAAGGAGCCAATTTTGAAGTCAAGATTGGGAGCCTGTATCCCCACAGTCACGATGCTACTGTCTCTTGACGCAAGCTTCCAGCCTGTACTCAGCCAGTATCATCATCTTGCCACGAAGACTGTATGACAGATATCGTGGTCGTGTTGGCTCCGATAGGTCCCACGAAAGTCTTGCGACGAAGTCTAAATAATCGCTCTGCCATTGGCCGGTAACTTCAAGACATGCGAGGTTGATTCCCGGGTTAGGGGATGGCCAGACCCCTTTCACTCGGCCTTGATTAGACAGGACAGTGCATCAAGCACTTCAATTCCTCCGCAAGATCAACTGGAGCCAACCTGATCACAGAAAGTCCGCCGACCTTCCTTCCTAAGCTGTTATCTATGCCTTGTGAGGTAAATTATAACCGTACAGATGGTCAAGGTGGTGAATTTGTGAATGAAAAATCGCATATAGGCACTGGAACCATATGTTTTTTCATTTCCTTGTGACTCATTCAGGCCTTTGTCCTACATGCTCGAGTAACCGAATAGTTGTAGGTTCGTTAAGTAGTAAGTTACTCATTGTAAGTGGTCATTTTTACTTGAGTATTACTGAGTAAGTAGATAAAAAAAAAGATGACTAATCACATGTTTTGTCACTTCATTAGTTCGGAGTCGGTGATTGTCCCCGGAATTCTTTTGCCCCGCTATTCCCTTGCAGCAGCAACAGCTTCAGTTTGCTTCTTATTTCAAAATCCGGTGGCCTGTCTGGCATAATGGTTTACCATTTCACATCGAATGTGGTTCAACCCGCAGCCTTTATCTATGTCGGAAAGGATAAATTTGAAAGTATGATGGGCTTTTCTATATCGATGAGATTGTGCCGAGACTCTGATAATTGACTTGGAACAGATGAGGACCTCATTAAATTTGGGTTAGAGAGTGATGTCTGGTAATCTGACCTTGTGCTGTGAATATCCGAGAATGTGCATCAAGTGAGCTAATATCTTTTTGCGTCTCGGCTAGGGTTTGTCTCTCCTCGTCGCGCAGCAACCTAGCATCCGAAGACACCCTAACTCAGTCATCAGTTCCATGTGGATAACCTGTCTAGTGCCCATGTGTACCTTCGCCTTCGTGACGGAGAAACATGGGATCAAATTCCTCAGGCGCTTCTCGAAGATTGTGCCCAGCTCACGAAGGCGAATTCAATCGAAGGTCAGCATATTTCGTCAGGAACGGATACCGACGAGAACCAACAAGCAAGCCAGCGGTGGAGACTAAACAAGCTTACAGGGAATAAGAAGGACAATATCACAGTGATCTATACACCGTGGTCAAATTTGATGAAGGATGGATCCATGGCAGCTGGCCAAGTCTCTTTCCACAACCATAAACTGGTGCGCAAGGTGTTTGTCCGACAGCGAGAAAACCCTATCGTCAATCGCCTGAACAAGACACGCATTGAAAAGTTTCCTGATCTCAAAGCCGAAAAAGACGAGTTCTTGAAAAAGAAGAACAAGGAGGAACGCAAACTGAGAGAGGAGCAACGCATAAAGGAGAAACTGGAAAGGAGGGAACGCGACCAGTTGAAATGGCAAAAGGAACATGCTTACGATGACCTCATGAGCGAGGAGAACATTCAAGGCAGCAGCAACTATGAGCGGGACGCGGACTTTTATGACGACTTCATGTGAAGCAGAAGGTATACAGTGGATTGCCATATTGTCTCTCTGATGGCCGTCGTCGGCTTGCCGCATGCTATACTATCGACGAAACAACATAACTTGGTACTCATCACAGAGCATCCATTCGAAGTGCATCAACGGAAGGTGGATACTGGGCCTTGTTCCGTGGTCGCGAAATTCCACATCAAATGGCTAGGAAGCGCATAGCTCAGAACACGCATATCGACTCGTGTCTCAACTCGACCTGATCCAGTGCCGGGGAGCTGGTGTTGAGAGTGGCTGGGAGCCGGCCACTGGCATACTGCCTGTCGCTATCCCACAATAGTGTGGTAGATTGAACTTCACTATAAGGGACATCATAGCATGTTTATAAGCTGTACATTGCATGCGAACTTAGTAGAATAAACTAGGCAGAATATGGAATCGAGTCTGAATGCACAGGTGATGCAGCATATAAAGAGAGCGAAACTCCTTTCTAGCTCCTTCGTGGTGCCGGCTCATACTGTTGGGTGTGGTAATTCGGCGTAACTAAGCGAGAGCTGCGGACTGCGGAAGCAACCTCCCTGCGCTAGCGATGTTGACAGCTATGGCCGGTCCCTCACCATAGTACGTACTCCTGTACAACAAGTTCTGTGACCATAACACCAGCTTTGATATAACCGCGCCTCAGACACGTCTTGCTACTCAAAAAAGTGAAGATGCCTGAAGGTTCGTCTCAATTGTGCATATTCACAACTTCTTCTAGCTTATCCCGTCGTTTCCGCTGATACTCCCCCATAGGCGCAAAGTCAAAGAACAAGAAGAAAGCCAAGGGTACCACCGGCCCCAAGGGGATTGAGGGCAAGGCTCTAAACAAAATCCAAGGCAATGATCAGGACCGAGCACCGGAGTACACCGAGGCAGCCGCGCAACCAAGCGTAAGGGCACCCCCGTTTACCCCTCACCCCCGAATGCCCACCTGAGCTGATTATGTGACAAAACAGGAGAGCGACAACGATAAGATTGATTCTACCGAGGGCCTAGTTGCCAAAGAGAGGGCAGATAGAGATAGACCAACCGGAGATTCACCGACTGAGATGACTGACGATCGGACAATTACTTCGACTAGTCATCCGACTAACCCCACAGGCCATGGGAGCGATCCCACCAGCTCCGAGGCTCTTCAGTCCAACGACCGATTTGACGCCCTCGTTCGGGATCGGGATACCTTACGCGCGGAAGTGGCAGACATGCGCAAGTCATTGGAGGAAATCCAGTTGAAACACCACGCGGAGATGGAAGCTCTGCAGGGAAGGCTCGATGACGCCGAAAACAAGAAAGAACATGCAGAGTTGCAATTCCAGAAACTCCTGGAAAGAGTGAACACAATCAAGTCTCAACTTGGCGAGAGATTAAGGGAAGATGCTGTATGTCTTCGGCACTTGCATTCCAGTGCTTTATCCCCAAGTATACTAACCCATAGCAGGAAGAGCTTGCACAGGCAAGATCGAAGATTGATGAATTATTGGAGGAAAACACAAGCATCAAGGATCAATACCAAGCGAAGTGTGGCGAGCTCGAGCAATTGTCGGAAGACAGAAGGAACATGTCACAGGAGCTTTCGACCTTGCGAGACCGTACAAATCTGTCCCAGCAAAATTGGTTGAAAGAGAGGGAAGAGCTCCTGGAACAAGAGAATTATCTTCACTCAGAGTTCGAGCAAGCCAAGGAGGCCATGCACAACTGGGAAGTCCTCGCTATGGAGGAGCGGTCCATTCGGGAAACCCTCGAAGTGAAGGTGGTAGATCTCGAGGAACAGCTTGCAAGCGTCAAAGATGCCTACGAGAAAGCATCTACCGAACGTGACTCTCAGGTAGCTGCAGTAGACGGACTACAGCGAGCTTTGCAGGAAATCCAATCTGGTGAGAATAGCCCCTATCTCCGACATACTTCTTTTCCTGAACTGACACTAATGATTTGTAGCGCGCAAACAGGAACTTCGTGAGCTCGTGGAGAATTCCGACGCGCAACTCGAGGAGTTGAAGCAGAGCCTTCAAGAAGCAATGAAGAAAGCCCTCGACGCCGAAAAATCTCTTCAAGACGCTCAGGGCGAGCTTGAAAGAGTTCGGCCATTCGAGAAAGAAGTCAAAGAGAAGAATCTCTTGATAGGGAAGCTCAGGCATGAAGCGGTGACACTCAACGACCATCTGACGAAAGCTCTGCGCTTCCTCAAGAAAGGGAAGCCGGAAGACAACGTCGACAGGTGTGTTTTTTTGCGCTACGACTATGGTCCTTGGCTGGGCTTGTAAGGCATTGACTGATAACTAATTCTTGTTTCTAGACATATCGTAACAAATCACCTCCTGCATTTTCTTGCTCTTGATCGATCGGATCCCAAGAAGTTCCAGATCTTGCAACTCATTGCCGCGCTCCTCGGCTGGACAGATGGTTGGTCAACCATTCTTCTTTTGTGTTCTTACCATACTCGTGGCCACTAACGATCTGAACAGAGCAGCGTGAGCAGGCTGGTCTGGCGCGTCCAGGAACATCGAGCATTTCTGGAAAATTGAGAGTTCCAAGCACACCCATGCATCGTACGCCAAGCAGCCAAACCTTGGCCTCGGAATTCCTTGACAATGGAAACGCAAGTAAAGAATCGTTGGCGGAGTTGTGGTCCAACTTCCTGGAGCAGGAGTCACAGAATGCGGAAATGACACATCCAAAGCCGTGAGGCTAGTTCCGCATTCATCGAGACCAATAGTCTGTGGCCTTTCGGATTGAATTACTACTTGTGTGATTACCATTTGCGCCTCTATCGCAATCCGCCTCTTGCTGTAATTGTATGCGTGATAGTATGAGATAAGCTATGCTATATAGGCTGTCCGTTTGCGACAGACAGCACATGCCTCATCGGTTCACCGCCTCATATTCTGCCGCATCTATTTTGTTGAAGTGTCAATTCAACGCTGACCAGTGTCTTGCATACCATGAATTGCTTAGCGACACCGCGAGTACAACCTTTCTTAAAGTACAATCTTTTCTCACGGAGATACCCCTATTGCATTCCAAGAATGGCTTCTAGCGCTGGTGAGCTTCTCCCTTTTCACAAGGCAGCGGTATCTTTATTTACCGCGCGAGCGCAGTGCAAAAGTTCCGCCCCGTTGTGGTCTCAGGACCGTCAGGAACCGGAAAGTCGACTCTCCTGAAGAGGCTCTTTGCCGACTATCCGAACACCTTCGGCTTCTCAATCTCGCGTAAGTCCTTCTTCTCCCCTCCCCGCTCGTACCCAGCCGCTGTAAGATTGTGGCCGGACATCCCCCCGCAACCCCGCATACACATCACTCTTCGAACCACAAAGGCATAGATTGCTGAAGGAATGCCTCCTTAGATACCACGCGAAGCCCTCGTGCGGGTGAGCAAGACGGCCGCGAGTACTATTTTGCAACAAAGGAAGACTTTCTCGACTTGGTCAGCAAGAACGGCTTCATTGAACATGCGCAATTTGGAGGCAATCACTATGGTACTAGTGTCCAAGCTGTGAAGAACATCGCTGAGCAGGGTAGAATCTGCATTCTTGATATTGAGATGGAAGTATGTCGCTGCTGTTTCTGTTCATCTGATTGTGTTCACTTCAGAGAGTGCCTCGCTAACAGCTCGTTTTTCCTTTTCTCTCCAGGGTGTGAAGCAGGTAAAGCGCACGGATCTCAATGCGCGCTTCTTGTTCCTGGCCCCTCCCTCGGTGGAAGAGTTGGAGCGGAGACTGCGTGGACGAAACACCGAGACAGAAGAAAGCCTGAAGAAACGTCTCGCGCAGGCTAAAAATGAGCTCGAATACGCCAAGGAGCCGGGCGCTCATGATAAAATCGTCGTCAATGATGACCTTGAGAAAGCTTATGCTGAGTTGAGGGATTTCATTGTCGACGGCGATAACTTTGGCGCTCAGCGATAGTGTGAGACCATCATTTGCTCTGTATCTTAGACGCACATAACGACTTCAACTTGTCGGCTCATCGTCATTAATTTAGCTTAGAACCACCGGAATGATTACACTGCCTTCCGACTTTCCGCATGAAGCGATCTACAATTATTCCTCTCACTGGAGCCAAGATAAATAAATACATGAAACGACGATACGATTGATGCCTAGCGCTTCGTTGCTAGCTTTTATTTGATCTGCGATGAAAAGGCCATAGGAAATCACGAGGTCGTTAGGTCACTTAGGTCACTTCCTCACAAATAACATTGTTCAAGTGACGACGGGTACGATCAAGGAATTATCAAGTTAAACAGGATATCTGTAGAAGCATGCCGAGATGAAGTTGGTGCTATAAGATTAAAACATTAAGGAAAGAAAAGGAAGAAAGTTACCCTGATTGGGCTCACTGCCCATGTTTGATCCACAGAAAGAAGCAAGGCCAAGCGAAATGCTCAGACATCAATAGCCATTCATGGTCATGCGTTGCGAGTTACGGCTTAGCTCTCTGTCCGCTGAGGGGCTAATGGGCCGGCTGCTACCAGGATGGCCGCCAGCAGCACTGCTCTCCTTGAGTGCCAGAAGTTGCTTCGCACGGAATGTCTCGTAGTGAATCTGGCTCGTCGTCTCGATAAGGTCCTGGAGATGGGTGCGAGTAAGGAAGTTTCGGAGATAGACGAATTCGCAGTGATTCTCATCCTCCACGTTGATGACACCCCAGCGGTTTTGGCGGCCGCGAACTTGCTGGCCATTGACGACGATCGTTCTTTCGCTACCAACTACAGCGAATGGAATGATGTCCTACATTGACATTAGGAATGGAGGCACCATGGGACCCGAGGCGGTTACTGACCTTGATTTGAGCATTAACTGCACGCTCTTCGTCATCAAGCTCATCGTTGTCGTAGGGGTACATTTTCAGATTGTGGAAGGCGAACTCCTCCTTGATTCTTTCCTTGAACGCCTGGCGTTCCTCGAGAGTAAGCGAGTCGGCTTTAGCGATGACGGGAACCACGTTGACCACATCAGAGAGCTTCTTCAGGACGACAATGTCGATGGGTTTGAGACTAGTTGGTACTTCATCAGTTTCTGTGAGATCAAGTCTAAGGTCACTATACTCACGCATGGCCAGATGGCTGGATAAAGAACAAGCAGCAGTGGATGCGGGTGTCTTGGATATAGCGGTCACGCTGAGCAGTAAGCTCCTTTCGGAGATATGCGGAGTGTTGATCCTTGATGTACTTCACAATAGGATCCCAGCTGATCACAACATTTGTCAGTTCGACTTTCGTGACTGATATTGCTCGGTTGCTTTACCATCTGTCATTGTTGACCTGATCGCCGTAGCCCGGGGTGTCGACGATGTTTAGCCTAAGACGCACGCCATTCTCCTCAATGACTTGGGGAACCGATTATTAGTCTTATGGTCGGGCTTATCAGCGAAGAGTGAGAACATACTGTGCGAGACAGTTTGGATTTCGGTAGTTGAACGAACGGGTTCGTTAGGGGCCAGGCGACCTTTGGAGTCGATCAGGTGAGAAGCGAAGATAGTATTGATCAAGGTCGACTTTCCCAGGCCGGTTTGTCCTATACATATATATCAATGTCAGCCGTACACGAGAAATTGAGACTGTGCTCAGACGTGCTGCAACTCACCGACGCACATCACATTGAACTGAAATCCACGCTTCAACAGCTTTCGCTCAATCTGAGAAGTGATACTGTCGAAACCAACATGACTACGAGGAAAGACCGACGCAGGGGTTGAATTCGCCGCGGCAGCCATGGTGCTGGAAGAGAGAGAAGATGGAGAGGGAGGGGATGTGGAGAATGGTCGTAGATAGTAGATTAGTATCTAGATAGTAGGAGTAGCAACCTCCAACAAAGTGTCGGTGGGGGAGGGGAAGGGAGAAGCAGTGGGCGAGGCCAAGGTGAAAACGAGAGACGAACAGCAGTTCTTCAACGAAAGGCCGAGGCAGGAGAAGTGAGTTCGAGGAAGGAGCGAGACTGATGAAGCAAACAAGCGAGAGAGAGAGGGAAAGACGGACTGATGGATGCATTCCCCTTAAGTTGTTCCCTTTGGATTGCCGTTGTTGTCGCGACTCAGGGGGACCGCTAGTCCAGATTCAGATTAGCGGCTCTCCAGACCCCAATCGGGCCATCCGCCGCCAATTTGAAGCCTCAATTGAAGATTTATTTGTTTCCGCATTGAATCCGCTTGCCTATCAGTCCTGACGCTGCCCCCGTCCTGTGTGCTCCTTCACACCCCCTCATCCAGATCGTTCTCAGCGTCCCAATGTCCCTGCGACTGTTTTCCTCCCGTCTATCCGCCCAGGGGTTGTCCCCGGCCGGTTCACTTTCGCCGGCTCTCGCCAATGCCGCAGTCGATCGCTGGTCCCAATTCACGCTCAATGCCTCCGCCGTGTCGCAGTCGCTCTTGAGACCGGCAGCAGTCACGCTCAACATCCCTGGAATCTTGTCTGATATCTGGGAATCCGTTCTCCGCGCCGTCCCGAAGAAGAAGACCTCCCATATGAAGAAACGTCATAGGCAGATGGCCGGCAAAGCATTGAAAGATGTCAAGAGCCTTAGCACCTGTTCAGGGTGTGGCCAAATCAAGCGCTCACATGTGCTTTGCCCGAATTGTGTTGCGAGTAAGTGTGACTACTTAAAAAGTGACTCGGGAGCCTATCTCATCAGTTAATTCCATCGTCAGGTATCAAGAAGCAATGGGGCCACAAAAATACCGAATGAAGCGAACAGACGAGGTGGCTCGAAGTGATGATAGATGCTTGAATTATGTTTGGATGGGATTGTATAATTATCGGGTCCATATGATGTGTAGGATAAAATGCTGCATGGCATTCGGCGTTTGGTCCAACTAATGGGTTCATGTTTTATTCCACTTTTTGTTCCTTTTATCTTTTTATCCTTCTCATTTTACTGTGTACCTTAAGAACCGTATCGTTCATGTCCTTCAATTCGATAGAGCCATTTGCAACCTGAATTGGTGGTGGTAAAAAGAACTTGATGTTCCGTGCATGTACCCGCGATTCATGATCTCATCCAGCCGCCTGCGCGACTGTCCCGCCATGGTTGTGATTTAGCCTTACGTCTTTGACAACACCCAGCTCCTGCAGCTAGCGACCACGTTATCTCGACCCGCTCGTATCATTCTGTGTCTGTCAAGAATCAATGTCTTAAGCTGACTCGGAGCTGTCATGGTAATGTGTATACCAGAGACTGTCGTTTGTTCGCCGCTGTTTATTCTAACTCCAAACCTGGCGGTTTTAGTCGAAGCAATATCTTTCCTGCGGTTCCGCAGGCAATGGTTCGTATGACCAAGTAGAACCTACCATTTACTCTCAGGTCCATGCTAATTATCATGCGTAGCACACCCTACTGACATCTACGGGCTCGCCGTGACCGATAAGTTCTGCTTGTCGGCATCTGGGTCCTCTTCTCTGAAAGTCCATTCGACGGTTGACCCTGACTTTCCACTGGTCCAGTCCCTTGATGACGCCCATAAATCTGGCTGTCATCATGTAGTGACCAACGCGAAAGGATCACGGGCAGCTAGCATTGGATTTGGAGGAGAGATCGCGATTTGGTCTTGCCACGACGGCGTATGGGCGAAGGATAGCACCGCTCCAAGTAGGTGATTCTTATTGACGGTCTGGGCCAGGCATTTCAAAGAGCTATACTGATCTGGTCGCAGCCAACCAGACTGGGTCTGCCGGCATCTGGGCAATCGCCTTGTCCGAGGATGGGCAATACCTTGCTGGTGTTAGCCAAGATGGGCACGTCAAGGTCTGGGACCTGAATGCCAGTGGTGAAGAGATTCGAGACTACGAAACCAAAGGCAGCTTCGGTACCTGCATAGATCTGGTAAATCCGAAATTCACCCATTCCTTGGTCAATTGAAGCTCACACGAGGCTGTAGTCCGCGGATGGTCGATTCCTTGCTAGTGGACATGAAAATGGCAGTGTTTACATCTTCAGCACTGAAACGGGCCGCATGCCATTCAGTTTATCAGGTAAAGGATTGACTCGCCACTATCTCTGCAAGCCGCAAGTGCTCTGACTATTTATCTCGTTTGCGAACGATAGGCCTTGTGAAACCCGTTAGAGCGGTTGCTTTCTCACCAGGAGGGAGGTTCCTTGCTGCTGCCGGAGATTCAAAGGTGATTGTGCTATATGACACATCATCTGGTGAACAAGTAGCCAATCTATCGGGTCATACAGCATGGATTATGTCTCTTTCCTGGAGCAATACGGGAGAATACCTTCTCAGTGGGTAAGTACACCTGCGGTACACGCGCGCCTTCTGACAGTGGTCCTGACAATTAATAGCTCTTTTGATGGCAAAGTCAAGGTTTGGTCAACCGATACTAGAGCGTGTGTAGCCACTCATTCTGAAACTGAGAAATCCATTTGGAGTGTGAGATGGCTGCCGAAGGTCGGGCGTTCGGAAGGATTTGCCACGGCCGGGGCAAGTCGAAGCATATCATTCTACCGCGAAGCTACAGGTGGTTGATCTTGACTCGCGTGTTTGCATTCAGAATTGATAGAGGCTGATTAAAGGGTTCAAGCCAAGGGCGGATGGTTATTTCCTTTCGGCCGCAGAAGACCCCCTCCCCCCATCTTGTGCCTATGTTCAAGTGTGATGTGGCTACGCTGAGGTTTCTTACGCATATGGCTTGTATGCCTGCAAAGTTATTGAGGTGATATTCATAAGCATGTATCATCAAGCATTTCTGTCCGTCCAACGTAACTCGCTATTTCATTGTTTCGACAAACAACCTCCGCATCCTCTTTAAAAACCCACCAAAATCGCGATCTTCATTTACAATATCGAGTTCGCGCTCCAGCGCCTCCCGATCAACCTTGGGTCGCGTGTGGAAGACATCATAATCGCGACTGGCTGTTCCAAGCTCGAACCAAGCCTCGGCCTCCCAGTCTTTCTCAAGTAAATGTGTGTAAACGAACTTCAGCCTATCTTCCCGGCCGGCCCCCTCGATTCGTAAACACAGATAATCTTGCCAAAAGTCTAGCTCCGGAACATTAAGTCGAGCTTGCTCATCAAGGTATTTGGCGTGCAACTTCTGCGCTTCTAATCTCTGATTGATCGTTTTCTGGGTCTCGTCGATTTGCTGCTTCAAGCGATCACGCTTAGCGAGCCGAGAGTCGCGCTCCAAGGTGACGGATGAGATGGCCGCATGCATCTCAGCGGCCTCCGCGGCTTCCTTTTGCAAAGTCTGTTGATGGGTTTGTGCTTTTAAATCGAGAATCTCGATATCCCTGTGTCTCATGCGCTGATCCTCTGGAAGCCGCGGTGTTAGCGGAAGGCAAATCGCGACCTAACGCGTCCGACTGGCGTGCTTGCTTACCCTGAAGCTCTGCCAACCCGCTTTTGAATTGATTCCTCTCTTCTAGAACTTGTTTCCGGCCTCTCTCAATAAAGGCATCAAAACGAGCTGTAAACTGAGCCATGCGATTGCGTAGGTCCTCAAAGCCAAAATTGATGCTGGGCAAGGAGTCGGCCATCGACGGCGCATCAGCCGACGCGAGAGGCGGGCGCATGCCACTCGTCGAATGTGAGGGATCGAATGCGGTATTCATTGTGAATCTAGATATTAGTGAGCTAGAGGCGAGTCGATTGTTGATTGCGACGCGAGAGTGGAAAAGCTGGTTGTTTTCTTCGCGACTTCCATAGACGGACGGACGCTAGTAAATGACTGTAAACCGTACTTGTTGCGGCGCAACCCCCGGGCCAAAAGCTTGGCATCGATGTATCTAGTATATTTTTTTTTTTCGCAATCCGGTCCTGGTCTGTCTAGACCGAATTATCTCATGCAGCTACAAGACAAAGACACTTTATTGTCACGTTCGCATGGGTCCTGACTTGCCGGCTGCTCAGAGCCGCTTCATTTCAATGCCCTGCCCGAGACTTTGTCTTTCATCCCAAACTTATTAACACATTGGGTTCGGTGCTCGATATGCTCACGACTACACAGCCTCAGCTAGAGCATATTGCCCGGAGCAAGAACAGACCCAATGGATGAACAACCTCTAGGTGCTCTACAGTTTGGGCACTTGGGACGACCGATGTATAATCCAGAAACTCAGACTTGGCTGTTTCCACGAACATTGGCCTCAAGTAAGCTGCCCGAGCCAAGAAATGCCTTCTCAGGCAAGACTGACCTCCTCCGTTCGAAGATCTTCCCATCAGTTATGCCGGTGTCAACAAACACACCGTCAAATCGCCTTTGACTGCACCTCAATCATCGTTGATCGAGAACAAGGGCCTCCTACCTCAAGTTTATCCCGAGCTTGCGGCCTGTTGGCCTCTTGCGTCAGACGAAAATACCTCGCATATGATCACGACAGCCAGCGAAATATGCGATCCCTCGGTTTCGTCCCTTCTGGATTTCGGTTACGCGGTAGATTTGGAGAATGGAGAGTCAGGGGCCCGCGGGGTGCCAATCGCGGTCGTTGCATCGGGAGAGTGCGGAAATGTTGTATCCTTTCGCAAACTCGAAGAAGATGCGATTGAGTTGAGACAAGAAACAACAGCCAAGGCGCGCGTGTCATCTATCGGAGATGTCGAAAAAGTCGACTGGTTCGTGGGAGGTGCTGCCGTTCGCCAGATCTGTTTCGCTCGAACGGTGGAACAGCAAGCGACATGGATGGCAGTTCGTTCGCCTCAATTTACGGCTATCTTCAGACCGCAGTACCACAGGAATCCTGTTCCTACACCAGTTGCTCGACTTCGTGACTATACATTGTCGAATGAGTGTCGCATGTCTCGCCTTGATGCCAACCCGGTGGTCGAAATCTCGATCTCACAAACTGGAGGGTTTGCACATGCAAACGTGACCTTCAATCCTTGGTATCAGAAACAACTTGGTATTGTTGATGTGCGAGGAAGATGGAGTGTATGGGACGTTTCTGGTCGGTACAATAAGAATAAGAGTCGTTGGATGACTGCATGCGTCAAAACTGGTTCGTTGCCATGGCTCGATATCGATGATGGTCAGGACGACGACCGCCCTCGTCATGACGGATGGGCGGCTATTGAATGGGTGGGAGATGTTAACAGCTTTATTGTTTGTGACCGGCGCTGCCCGATATTATATCGGACGCGAGACGGTCAGGTATACCCATACTCCATTGAGCTCGGCTTAAAGAGGAAGTCTGAATGGATATTAGACGTCAAACGAAGCACCAGCAATGTATCACATGTCTTCATCTTGACAACATCCCGGATTTTCTGGCTGGCTCTTGCGCCTGAATCTGGTCCAGACACTAGCGATTCACGACCTGCAGTATGTCCTCAAATGTCATGGCGTCATTTTCGGGATCCTGAAGACACGACAATGCGGCTTGATTCTTTTCTTATACATGAAGGTAGAGCTCGCCAGCATGGCAGTCCATATGTAAGCTCGACAACATGCTGACAGCTGTTATCAGAATTTTATCTCATCCTCTACTCAAAACTGAACCCTTTTACACTCGTCTTCCCGTGTGCTTCTGTACGTGATACCGAAGCAGAGACATTGACTTTACACGACCCATCGATTTTAGACATCCCACCGTCTGATATTCCTTCAGAATACCAGCTATCACCAAACAGTACCCAGTTTTCAACGCTTGTTATGAGAGAAACCTGTCACCTCTCATTGCCAGTCCGCAACAAATCTCACGATTGCAGAGCCAGCATTCTGAAGCTTTTTGCATTAGACTCGCATCTCTCTGTACATGAATCAGTCTATGTTGGATTTTCCCGCAACAGTGCCGCAGACGGGGACTCGCTACCCATAGATGTCTTGAAGGCCAAAAAGCGGGCTCCAGGAATGTTACGGACTCGATCAACTACCTTCCAAGATGACTTCATAACGCACGATTGGGACGAGTCAGCTTCGCGAAGTGGCGTCTTGACCTTAGATGCTGCAATCTCCAGTATCACACCACTTGCGTTTCCGCAGTGGACGCTTGATTATACTCAGATCTACGCCGTGGTAACTGGCAGGCTGGCACTAGCATCGAGCAAGAAGGGCGCTGATAAACGTATCGGCGATAGCCTCAGTAATCTGGTCCAACAGCTGGAGGGGCTGCTTGCAGATGCCGAGGCTAGTGACAGGTTCAAAAACCAGACAGGGTGAGTCTGCTTCGAGATATTTGGTCTCATAAAGTCCGCCTATGCACGAAACTAATCCTATGTAAGGCTTGAGCTCCTTGGTAGCGGCCTAGTTTTGGATGATATTGATCAAAATGCGCAAGAATGGACCTCTTTCTGGTCACGCATCTCCCACAGCCGCCCAGGTCTTCTCGACCACATCTATACCACGATTCAAGCCTCCAGTATCTTCAGTACGGTTACTTCTCAGTCCTTTGCAACGACCGATATTATCCAACCACTTAGCCCTATAGCACTATATGATGAATTGATCACCGAATGGGTTGGTTATCTATCTCATGATATACCCGGGCGCACAAGGATCATGAAAGAACAAATTATTCGAGACGTGGTAGCCGATCTGATCCTAGCACAATTCAGCATCCGAGGTGGGATAGGGCATGGTTCCAGGGATTCTGGACAAGCAGATTCTTTAGTCCCATCTTCGTCTGCGGCAATACCGATTGACAATGAGGAAGGCCTATCCTCTACTTTTTTTGGGGAGGACAACAGGGTTGCACCAAGAAGCAGCGGGTCGAGCAAGAATAATCGGGAGCCTGACGTGACTGAGCCTGAAACGCCAGCGAGTATAAGGCCAGTGTATTCTAGTCTATCAGCTTTTTCCAGCTTCAAGGGCGATCAGGTAATGAACTCCGGCACGGCAAGCATGCTACAACACTGGAGACCTGGAGTCAACCCCGCCGACTATAGCTGGCAAAGGAATTTAGCAGGAACTCAGGGCATGACGGCGACTACTCCCAAGCGGCGGCATTCACGGAGAGGGACGGCATCGTTGCATGGAAGTCAGCAAGCTGGCTCGACTCATCTTCCCACTCCTGTCGTTACGGCTGACGCTCCTCGGACTTGGGGAAGCCAGCCAGAACACCTCGAGCCGCCCAGTCTCCGATTGCACAGCAGTCAGATGGCGGACCAGGAAGTCTCGATGACACAAATCGAGCGCGGCATGTTTGGTGGTCGCGAGGCCGGGCGCAAAACCGTGGCGAAGGCGAGGAAGAAGAAGCGGGCGGCGGGCTTCTAGGGACTGATGAAGCTGTCATCTGCGAATTTGTCATCTCATGTAACTTAGTTAATTTTGATTCAGGCACGGTATGTGCCAGGATTATTAAGCCCACCGAGCAAAGGATGAGTGATTATTGCGTTTTTCTCTCCTTGTACTCATCATGTTCGGTCCCACCAGTAGGTAGCCAGACAGCCCGCGAGGATACAAATAAGGGTTGGTCGCCGGGTCGAGTCGTTCATCTACGGAATACGTATTCATCTCCCTCTCTAGTTACCTTTCACAAAGAAGACAGAAAAAGAGAATTCTGGGGTAAGAACAACTCTTCCCTCCCTTTCCATTTCCCACAATTTCCTACCCGGAAGACTGTCAGCTTGGAGCAAGTTTCAGGCACAATCACTATCCCATAGCTAGCAATTATTTGGCCTTCTGCCCCACCAGGCGTTTAAGCCCCTCTTTTGCCCCTTGCGTCTCCAACCTTTAGCCCCGCCATCATTCTTTATCATTATTGACAGACAGCCCGGCGCGAATTCCAGCTTCCCCCCCCCTCGAAACTAATTCAGACATACAGATCCTCGACCAGCAGAGAACCTCCCCTGATTTCTTCTGTAGACCAAATTACTAAGAAGAGAAACCAAAACTAGAAATTCTGACCGCCACTGCACTCTTTTCCTTCTTGCCATTTGCGATAGCCCCCCTCCCTCCACCTGTCAACATGTCCGACCACCAGTACAAATTCGACGTCACCATGAGCTGCGGCGGTTGCTCCGGAGCCGTGGAACGAGTCCTCAAGAAGCTTGAGGGTATGTCTACCTAGTCACCACAAATACCGTTCTCCAACTATGTTGTTTTGTTTTTTATTCCCTGCAAAATCCTGCCCGAAAAAATGTGCTGCAGTTCGTTAATTGGGAGGGAATCTTTAGGGGTCAAGTCCTTCGATGTGAGCCTGGAATCGCAAACCGCAACGGTTGTGACCGACGCCTCCGTGTCATATGAGACTGTATTGGCGACGATCAAGAAGACTGGAAAGACAGTTACCGGGGGGAATGCGGATGGGCAGCCCCAGGGTGTTTGAACGTGTCAGACGTGAGGAGGACAATGGGTGATTGTTTTGGGAAAGATGGACCTAATGGGGGCTGTACTGAGTGGTTTTCATATTTATCCTTTCTTCTGAAAAATGATATATATATGTGCCTCCCATTCTGCGTGTTTAAATCTCTTTTGTGAAAATCCGGAACAAGCCGTTGGTTCATATCTTGTCTTCTACACTGATAGCATAAAGGAGAGTAGTATCTTTCTTGGCTTCTAGCTTCAGTCTGTTACAGGATTGAGTATCATGTACGCTCCATTTGTAAGATATGTAGGTACTGTACATCACCATAGACATTTACACTGCGATCGGAATGTACAAAATTGACACCGACCCCTCCCATTGGTAGCAATATCAATCCACGATAACGATGGTTCTGCCCTCTGGAACCGGAGGACGAGACCGTTCAGACTCTCTTACATAGGTAGGACACCGGGGTTCTTTGGTTCGTAAGCCGTAGCGTGGAGGCTCGAGTAGTTCCCTGCTACAAGTGTTACAGTTAGCTTCTGACGACCGGCAAGCTGTGATGAAACCAGGCAATTCATGTTCACTATCCATACCGTGAAATTACCGTTGCCTCTCCGTAATGCCTGTCAGTGTAACGGTTTGCAGCTTTTGAAGCATCATACATCTCATGATAGCGCTGACTCCCGTCATCCACTACGCCATACCTCTGAATAGCGGATCTTGACCATGGATCCGCGTGGGTGCGGTCCGGAAGGGGTCTTAGTTCCGGTCCGGCCTGCTGATTAACTTGTTGACTACCGTAGACAAGACCAAGCCTATCCGGTCCGGGACGGGTATAGTTTGTCTGAAGACGACGCTCCAACGGATAATCCGATGGGTCAGAATTACTCAGGTCAATGGCACGAACAAAGTCATCGGCATAATGACCTTTTCTCTGAGGTGGCTCTTGGGGAGCAAAAGCATATCCCTGGTCTTTGCCACTCCATGTATTTGGCTGTATCGTTTCCACCTCGGGCAGCCTTAAGCGATCATCGTCGTGCTTGGGCACCTGCGGGTCATAATCATTTCTCACCATGCCAATGGATTGAACGGGCATCAGCCCTTCCTTGCTTCTATCCTCGACAAAGGCATACCGTAAGGTGGGCACAACACGGGTCTCAGCCGGAGGCCCGTACTGAGTGGGTTTCTCACGGTCAGGTATATCAAATGTGGCATTGTTATGCTTGTGAGACATTTGACGTGGGGAACCCTCATCCCTGAGCCTAACACGGGTGGTATAGGATGGGTATGAGTATTCCTCGGGCTGACGATCAGTAGCATGGACATATCCAAACGGGTCTGCATGATTCCTACGGACAGAAGGGTTTTCTTGAATCGGAAGTCGTCCTGGAGGGACATATGCAGAGGAAGCCAACTGTTCCCCTGGACGAGCACTTCTCACAGTAGCAGAAGAAAGACTAGGGCGGATAGTTTCTGTTTGTATCGGCTGATAGAATGCGGTTCGTCGGCGCTTTGCTGTCTGGTATTGTAGAGTCTCCATCGAGATTTGGAGAAAGTCCTGGGGAGGTAGATGAGCGGGAGTTACAGAGCGTATTGCGAACCCTCCAGACATCCTCGTGGCAAGGTTCTCCATGGGGCCACAATTGGATCGTCCTAGTTCCGCGGGAAAGGGGTTCTCTATAGAGGGCAAGGCGTGATCCTCTGGGTGGGAGACTGTCCTGCTGTGGCCATGTTCCAGAGGTTTCTGCTGCTGTCCAACTGGAAGTCCGGATACGTTTCTATGGCTACTCACAAAAATAGGGCCATTTGGTGACTCCTGGCGGGGGATAATCCGACTTTCTCCATGAAATGGCCGCACTCGCTCCAAGGAAAGCCCAGTGGGCTGTGGTGAAAATCTCTTTACCTGGTATGGTCTTTCAGTTGCATGAAGCAACGCATAAGGCTCGTTCTTGTTAGCATGAAGTCTTTAAGAAGTCGTCCCGAAAGATGTAGTTGTAGAATTGGGATTGTCAAGGGCAAACTCACTTGATGCTCCATTGCATGGTTTGCGTATGCCCTCTTCGACGCAGTGCTGAGTGTTTCCACATTAGTTGTCACCTGGAATGGAACAGAAAATGTGCGCCTATCCTCGAGAGGCAAGAAGAGTGAATCTGTACCAGAGTCGGCCGTCTCTTGCAGGGGCTGTCGAGCGACCAATGGTCTTCGAAGTTGGGGGGATTTACCAGGCGGCCTGCGTGGATTAGCCCCTTCCGCTATGTTTCTATATCTGTTAATGGCACGGTCCCATGCTTGGTATCGGCTGAATCCACGACGGTCAAGCTTGTCATTCTTAGGAATCTCCGGGACAAAACGAAATCCAGGCGGTGCGTCCTCGTCCGATATATCCAGCTGAGTGTCTCGTAGGCTAGACCTAGCATAAGTGACCGGGTTTATCTGTAGTTCTTCGGCACGCGGGTTGCTAGAGACAACCACCACACTTTGGTCACGGTCGAAGGGCTGTATTGGCTCTTCCTCGGTGTCACTGTCTTCGCCATCAGATATCACAATGACCTCGCGGAAAACATCCTCAAGGACAATCTTTCCATTCTCATCATCACCCCGCCATTCGACCAGCTTGGCCAAGGTAGGCTCTTCAACCGTGCTTCTCGCCTCGTGGAACGAGGTCGCTTTTAACAAACGATCGTATTCCGTGTAAACATGACGTATGTGGGCCACAACTGCGAGCTGGGAGCGGCGGGCTAGGGGTAATTCAACCGCTGTGCCTACTTTGCGCTGACCCTGGAAACAGTTTCAGTATCTTTTGTCCAACACTTTTTGCTTCCCTGTTATGAGGTTCCAAGGCTTTTTTGCGATTATTATCCACATACCTTCTGGAAAGCAGTTTTTATGATTTGATTCAGGTCATTGTCCGGGATATTAGGGAAGAGATCCTTGATTACATCCCTCGCTTCGGTGTTGATTGTCGTCTGAGAAGCTTCTGAATTAGCACGCTTGCGGGCTTTGGTAATAGCAGAAGTCTGGAATTGCATTGTTTTCCCCGCTGTTGTAAGGTGGAGTCCCAGGTCCATACAGACTGTTGCGACAACAGTGCTGGGAAAGTGATATCCTATCCGGTGAACATGCTGGGATAGGTTGTGTGTGTGCATATGCGGCGTTGTCTATGACCCAACATTAGAAAACCGAAGCCGGGCCGCAGGAAAAGAGCATGTTAAGGAGATGGCTGTCGGGCATACCGAAACAGCGAACACCTTCAAACTGTCCTTCCGACAGACTTCCTTACACGCAGTCGTGAGCTGAGGGTTGCCTGCAGGAATGAAGGTATAACCAGGAGGAGCTTTTGCTTCGAAAGATATCTAGAGTGTTTGTGTCAAGAATGCCCCGTGAGATATGAGCAAGACGAAAGAACATACGACACTGCGAAGTTTCTTCTTCTCCTGCGTAACGGATTCCAGAATCACTTTATGCTTGCGTGCCGTCTTCTTGACGTTTCTGCTTGGCGCATGTCTGGCGAAGACCGAGGTGGCTCTCCGCGTAACTCGGACCATGGTGTTAGAAGAGAGGTCTTCTCACGTGTCTACATAAGACAGTCCTTCATTTTATTAATCCGAGTTCAGTTTGTCCAGGTATACACTGCATTGGTAGATAGCTCAGCGCCGAGAAACGATGGTTATCAGACGGAGGAAGTCCAAGATGTGATAAGTTTCTGCTGTCCCAAGGAAGGGGATGATGTGGTGAGACCAGTTAGTCAAATCACATATGTCTACACAACAAGGCGCGCACTGGTACTCCGCAGCATTAATCACGGGCCAGCTCGAAGAGAGGGGTCCGGTAGGCGCGAAACACTTTGTTCTTTCGGTTGACCCTCGCTGCTGGAAAAGAATAAGAAGCACGGTGAGAGAAAAAATAAACAGCTTGATCGAAGCCCGCTTGGGATCGTGGGCAGGTAGTATGCTGGAGCGATGGAGCAAGCAAGCCTGGCGGAGCACGCAGGCAAGGTGGGAGGGTGGAAGGAAGCTAAAGAAGCCCGACCCAACTTAAACCACTTGCAGCCTAACGCGCGGTGCTGATAACGCGGTCGTATCTGGCTAGCGTCAACTCCCGCCGCCGCCGCCGCCCGCGGCTTGCAGCATTTGATAGTTATAAGTGTGTATGTACATACAGTAATCCGTACATTGGCACTACTTCTACGCCGGTCCGCGACTCCAACCACCTCATTCAAGCAAGATGGTCTCTCCAGTACAATCCTTAAAGTCTCTGGGAGACTCACAAACTGTTGTCAATACCTACCGCCAGTTGTATCGACACGGGCTGAAAGCCGTAAATTATTCGACGCCAGCTCGATACGTCCTTCGGCACACTCTACGCTCCTCCTTCCGATCGTCACCCCCAGAGAGCCTGGACCAACAGCGAATCGCTAATACCATTAACTTCCTCCAAAGAGCAGCGGAAGTCGCAGGCTTGGAACACAGGATTGTGAAGAACATGATGATCATGAAATACTGGCAAAATCCCCAAATCAGGCGAGACCTCCGATCGTGAGTTTGCATTTGGTTCGGTATGAGATTGGGATTGTTGGCTCTGACCCTATCTAGTATCAAAGGCTTAGGGGTCGAGCCCCGTGATCCTAAAGTCAAGGAGGACGCCTGGCAGCAATACAATTTGACTTTGAGGCTCCTGAACGAGAGCTTGGGAACCTGCCTCGCATAAATGGTCTACCTCGGAAGTACTCGTCTGGGCCATCATCCATCAGCCCCATGGCAACAACACTACCACCAAAGGTCCTGGGCACCATCGTCCGTAGGTTTTCTGTATGCCATCACTTATCTGTTAAGCGGACTCATGCTTCCCGCCTTGACACAAAGAGGGACAACCTCTCTTCGCAGGCCCTGTCCGTGAAAAATGCTCGCTCTACAGATACACTGGCAGCTAAAAGGCTAGGATATCGCTGGGCCCCGAGGTATGATCAGAAATGGCTTTGTCCAGCCGGTGGATGACTACGGCGATAAGGAGTCCTAACCCCCATAGGGGAGTAAGGTATGAGCACCAGCTACATACGTTTCGTGGTCATTTGGTGTCAAGATGGAGAGATAACGGTATTCACGAAGCTGATGGTTCATTTTGCCAACCTTCTTCTGGGTTGTCCCGCGTGGAAGTTTGTCATCAAATTTAACCACCACACATGCTGGCAAACATTACTGAGCAGATTACTTCGATGGCTCGAAGTACAACTCTGGATGCAGCAGCTCAAGTGTATGTACCGTCCAGACTATTGTTTGCTTGGCCCCTCAAACCGCCTGCGGTAGGGCATCATAGGTACAGCCGCTGTGCGGCCCCTGCCAGTTCAATACCAATAAACCAAATGATATAGGGGATATACAGTGCAATGTAACAACATCCCGAACGCACCGTATCTATATGCCACCATGTGATATAGCCCGGCCGTTGGAGGTTGGCCTGGTGTTGGGAGCGATGCAGATAGCATCACTGAGATCATTTGTTGTGGATTAAAAAATTGCGGAACGAGTCCCAGTGATCGGAATCCGCGTAACTAGAATAATGATTAGCGTCACACAAGGCAGGCGAGATAGCGAGAGCGAGAGCATACATGTACACCATGCTACTCCTCAGACTTGACATCAATGTATCTGGATGCCAACGGAAGATGTACATAACAAGCGCCCAGGACAAGCTCGCAAATACCGGCCAGGCATTGCTTTCCATCTGAGTTCGCGTTTGCGGAGTGATGAGAGAGGAGAGCGGGTGCATGTCTGGACGAATGGCAAGTTTGGCCAACGCAAGTACCACACGAGCAAAGATATAGATCACAATCTCGTAGAATTGTCAGTGGATGATCGAGTCCAGTATTTGAGTGCCCGGCTATTTACCTGTTGAGTGATACTGGTTTTATGCCGACCAAAGACGGCATAGCCTCCTAGCAACCCGGCAAAAAAGCTATCATATCGTCCTTCTTTCCCGACAGCAACCGGGTTGATATTGCGCAGCAAGGTCATTGAGCCCTTGTATATCAGCGCAAAGGTGGCCAGGTTCCGAGCATGTTGGCGTGTGGCTTTAAGGACAAGCTTGACTTTCTCACGGAAGCTGTGTCACGATCAGCATGATTGATCTATGCTTCTAAAGGCTGGATTGCCATACGTTCCTGAGCGAAAAAGCAAAATCATCCTATTGACATCAAGCATATCGAGTCAGCTTAGCTCTCTACAAGGGAGAGGCCCGGGTTCTGGATTTTGAGGGAACATACACCAGAGCATGCGGAAAGCGGACCTTGGCCCCGTAGACAGCGCCATTGCGAATGCCCTTGAGCAGGGACAGAAGCGGCGCAAGCTCGGGATTAGTGACTAGAGCATCCAGAGAGGCCTACAAAGTGGTTAAACTGACATAAGTCCTGCGTGGGGTTGGGTTCGAAAGAGTGCGACCTTACTGTGAGGGCATCCATCGTGCTTGTTCGAGAACCTCGGCAAAGTAAATGAAATTTAGTAAAGGATCAGACTTGCTTCCTCCGGCAAGATTCAGCAGGGAAACTGCAAATCATGGAGGCTTCAAGGTATGCAAGCAACAAAAAAAGCTGCTCCAAACCTAGAAGACATCTAAAGTACCAGTTCGGGGTAAAGTGGGGGAGTACGGCATTTATGGGAGCTGTGATGATCCGCGAGGCCAGAGACGAGATCCTCGGCATGTGAGAGACGAGCCGAGCGTAACATCATGGTCACGTGTGCAAAATCCAGCCTCTACTTTGACATTTGCACGAGAGCAACTTGATAATTCAATTCAAGGAATTGAGGTTGAGACTGATAGAACTTTTTTTTGCAAACGTCTATGTAACAAACACGTATCGAACAGGTTCAAATATGAGCTAGGTGCTGGACCATGGCCAGAGTGAAAACCGAACCCCCAGAAACGCCTCGTGCGCAGTTTAGATAGATATAATAAGTCGGAAAGAATCAAAATTGCATTACAATGCATTTCAACGCGAGCTTCATGCCGTTTTAGCTCTCTTGCGTCCTTCATCCTCCGAGATCTCATCCACGTCCATCATGTCCTGATCCTCATCGTCATCCGACTCCACACCTGCGCGGCGCTTCAATCCCTTCATTTTCCGAGTTTGCAAGCCGCTGAGGTCCTGCTTGCCCAGGTGGACACGACCGATCTTGTCACCAATCGAATCCATGCTGATATTCTTCTTCATCTTGATCTCCTCGTTGGGCCTCTTGCCTTGCTTCATGGCCTCCTTCATCGCGTCCCGAGGGGCCTCCTGCAGACGTCCAACCTTAAAGTCAAACTTAGGCCCAATCTCCTCCAGCTCCACGCGCGGAAGCTTGTGGCCACTGCGCTTCGTCCGGAGCTTGTACCACCGCAAGTGAACAACAGGTGCCAAGCCTTCAGTAGGTTCCTCGGCACCGATCATCAAAATATATTGGAGCCCCTCCACGTCAATCTTATCACTCGTCTCACCCTTGAACAGGTCCAAGAACATACTCTTAAGCATGACGTGGGCCATTGAGGTTGAGTCTTCCCAGGCACTGCCTGAGAAGAGGATCATGGGCCGTAATCCAATGCCGATATGCATGGCCAGATCAGTGTGTTGCTCAGCGTCGGGGTGCGGCAGTAGCATCAATTCGCACATGTCAAGGATCTTGGAATCGAATACACGTGCCATGGTGACACAGTTGGGTCTTTTCTTGTTGCTGCTACCGAACACCACAAGACCACATTCGTTCTTGTTGGCCAGAAATTCGAGACTTTCGACGCTCTCAAATGGGTGAATGTTCTCGTTCTTCTTGTGGAATAGGACTGAATCCGGTCTTGTCAAGGAATGGAAGGTCTTCAGAACAGTGTGTAAAGCTTGCGGACATTTTGAGCCGTGCAACAACAGCGTGCGCTTGGGGGGTTCGATGAGCTGAGGTTCTTTTGCCTTCAGGATGCGCGCTGTGCGCGCATTCTTCGGTTTTCTGAAGCGATAGAGATTTTCTTGTAAGCATGGTGACTTGAACACTACAAAGCGTAGTCGAAGGGAGTGCATTCTATAAACTTACACTTCTCTGAGCATCTTGACCAATTCTGAGCACCAAAAAAACCTGGTTTGACGTGATAAGGGGTCACTGATCGGGCTCGTGAAAACGAAAAGAAAAAGGCGGAGTGAAAAGTTTTGGTGGAAATGGTCTTGGCGCCGCTTATCGATAAGCTTAATGGCATCCACCCATCATTCGAGCTTCCCCGTCACAATAATGTGCTATTAATAAGACTTCACGTTGACTAAATACGAGCCTTGACCTACGAACAGTCATCGTTGGTCGCACTGAAGTCCGAGTAAAACATCACATTTGTCAATACAAAAATATCTAGTTTAGAGAGTTTCGGGCCGCGAGATCTACTCTAGCCGCAGCTTCTCAAACTCACGAATCTGTTCCTCTAGACGAGTCATTTCACTCTCAGCATCACGCATTTTCTTTTCTTCAGCCTCGCGCACTTCGGGCTTAGCCTTCTCCTGCCATCCAGCACCGCTGATAAGCTTCTGCTGGCGACGCACGGTCTCACGTGCCTTTTCGAGACTAGCCTTGGCCTTCTCTTCCTGCTCCAAGGCAACTTCCTTGGAAACACGGAGATAGACAGCAGCTTCAGAGCTCACGGGAGCGACCACACAACCTGAAGGGGGATTGGTATTCTCCGGGCCGAGCACGCTAAGCTCACCCAGGGTCTTGCCACCCAGGGACTTGATGCTAGTAAGCTCATCCGAGACGGTCTTGTAGCTGGTGGCATCGTAGGTCTGGATGATAATGTCGCCCTTGGTCTTGATCTCATACTGGGCCAGGATCGACCGGATAGACTTCGAGGCATTCAGGATCAGTTCATAGGCAGTCTCAGCCTCGGGATCCTCGAACTCAGGTCTATACTCGGGGTACTTGGCCTTCATGATCGAAATTGTGCTATCTTCGGGACGACGAGGCAAGCGCTGCCACAGGTGCTCAGTGACGAAGGGCATCATTGGGTGGATCAAAGTCAAAGCCCCCTCAAGAGCCGTGTAGAGCGTCTCCTTGGCCGACTGCTGCACTTCAGCCGGGACCTCGGGCGCAAGCAGGAACTTGGAGTTCTCAATGAAAACGTCACAAAGTTGGCCGTACCAGTATTGGTAAGCGAGGGATGCCGAAGCAGAGAAGTCACGCTGCTCAAGAGCCTCATTCATCTCCTTAGCAGCAGCGTTAAACTTGTGCAAAATCCAGCGTTCCGCAAGGGACTCTTTGCCGGTCTTTGTAGGGGTCGGCCGAGGCTTGAAGTCATCGCCCAACTTGCCAAGCACAAACTTCGTGGCTTGATAGATCTTGTTACAGAATCGACGATAACCATGGATGACCTGGATGTCAAAGGCAATATCACCACCTGATATGGCACCGTCAGTATGAAAGACAATAGGCTAGAAAGGATGGAGTCGATTGCTGGGAGGTTTTACTTACCGCCAGTAGTGTAGGACACAAGGGCGAAACGCAGGGCATCAGCACCGCACTCAGGAATACCCTTGGGGAAAGCCTTCTTCTGGTACTTGGTAGCAGTGGCCACCTCCTTGTCGGCAAGGTTGCCGGTGAGCAATTTGGCATGAAGGTCATCCAGCTTGATACCTTCCATAACGTCGAGAGGATCGATGACATTGCCCAGAGACTTGGACATCTTGCGACCCTCAGAGTCTCTGATCAAGGAGTGGCAGTACACCTCCTTGAAAGGAACCTTGCCGGTCATCTTGAGACCCAGCATGATCATTCGAGCCACCCAGAAGAAGAGAATATCCCAACCGGTCTCCAGAACGGAGGTCGGGTACAAATGCTCCAGATCATGTGTCTGACGGGGCCAGCCCAGGGTAGAGAACGGCCATAATCCGGAGGAGAACCAAGTGTCAAGAACATCGGGATCTCTCACCAAAGTGAAGCTCCTACCGGGGAATTTAGCCGCCGCCTTCTCCCGAGCCGCCTCTTCCGTGCGACCAGTAACCCAAAGGTTCTCATCACTATCATCACCTTCCTCGCCGTCAATCTTCACGAAGTAGGCGGGAGCCTGGTGACCCCACCAAAGCTGTCTGGACAGACACCAATCATTGATGTTGTTCAACCAGCGGAAATAGCTCTTCTCAGCGGATTCCGGTCTGATGATGATCTCACCGCTTTCAACGGCCTTGATGGCAGGTTCGGCGAGATCCTTCATCTTCATCCACCACTGAGGCTTGAGGATAGGCTCGATGACATCGTTGGACTTGGCACAGCGAGGAATCTTCATTGGGTTGTGCTCCCATTTGACATAAAGTCCCTTCTCTTTGAGCATCTCGATGACCTTATAGCGGGCGTCAAAGCGCTTCATTCCGGCAAAAGGACCACCCTTGCTGTTGAAGGTACCG